AGGAATGGCATACACCTGGGCCTTTCTAAAAATGTGCCCTTCTAACTCGAAAACACTCAAGGTAGCACTTCCTCAATTCTGTTTGTCACTGTCTGAAATTGTTCACAGGAACCAGCTTTGATATTCTTTGCTATTCACGCCTATATATAGATTTTTAAAAGCCTGAGGCAAATCTATTGGAAAAGGGATTAAGAGAAGCATGAAAACACTTTCTAAACACCCTATTTGACAATTTAAGAAAAACGCCAATTACAGCTGTATACATACCTGTTACCTTGGAAATCACAACTATTCACTTGTGTTTATAAGAATATAAAAGATACTTCATTTAAAACAGGCACATGAAACTAAAATAAGACACAGTATAAGAACAGTTTGATTGGGATCTCTTGCCTAGAATCTTATCTTTAGAAACTATGGCTGTAAATATAATAAAAAATACTTTGCAATCAATTCTTTTACATGGTTAATGGTATCCTGTGGGGAAATACTCTCCAACTTTTAAGTAAGAAATATTTTGTTTAAAAGGGTTTTAAATGGGTTTTGCAGAAAAAGTCTCTGCACTTCATCTTTTGGAAGACAAACATGGACTTCCCTGCATTGGAAAGGGGATGATTTGTTTTAGAAACTAAAAAGTTCTCTCTTACATTGTGACCTGTTTACTCTAAATATTGGTAGAAGATGTCCAACTATCAGCACAAACATTTTAAATAGGAAGCATTCCAAGTACATTTAAGAACAAATGTTTTATAATATGTTGATTATATATTAAACAAGCTGCTATATAAAAAATAAATTTAAAAATTAAAAAACTAAACTTTTTTTTAAAAAGCAAACTTATTTGCTCAAAATGGAATGTGTGTGAAACCTTTAAGGATAACATTACCATGGAAAGCAATGGACATGTATGCTTGTCATTCCTTGGAGAGCTGAAGTCAAGCCAAAAGAATCAGAAAGGAAATTGGGGGAGAGAGCACCTGGGCCTTGTTGGGGCTACCCCATTGTGACTCTTGGACGTCAGGGACTGCTGTGGCTCAGGGTAGGTGGCTTTGGGCCAAGATGGTCTCTGGACCATACTGGTCTGAGATGGCTTCTGCTGGGATGGAATGGAGGTGGGTCAGGACCACCTGCCCATGATGCCCCAGCAGCCCTGCATGTACTGGCATGAATAGGGACTGCTGTGGCTCAGGGTAGGTGGCTTTGGGCCAAGATGGTCTCTGGACCATATTGGTCTGAGATGGCTTCTGCTGGGATGGAGTGGAGGTGGGTCAGGACCACCTGCCCATGATGCCCCAGCAGCCCTGCATGTACTGGCATGAACACACTACCTACCACTTGTCCCTCTGACCCACACACAGTGGTGGCCTGGAACAGAACCTCCTTAGAGAAAAGTGTTCTTTTTTTTGAGCTTTTTTTTTTTTTTTTCCCTCCCAGGTTGACAACATTTTCCTTTTTATAATAAACAAAACTGAGAAGGAAAAATCTCTATCCTCTAGTACTTAAAACAAATGAGTCTGATAATGACCTGAAGTCATGTTTTAAAGATGCATTTCTTTACTTCAGCCTCTATTTATAGCTCTCTGATAGCTGAGAAGGCAATTAGCTACATTATAACCTCTTAGGCAGAGTAACTGGCTTTACTAATTACATTCTCATTAGCACCATTTTATTTCACTTTCTTGGTGGGAGTTCTTCAAACATCCCTTTGGCTGGTAGGTATATGGGACTCTTCTATTCCACACTGCTTACCTATTCACAACAACTTGTTCATATATTATCAGGGATACCCCACAAAGAACAAAAGCTCACAGTCTCCCATAAAATAAAGGTCCTTTAAGTAAAATTATGAATTTACACACAGGATTTGAGATTTAGCTGTGCTTAGTGAGACGAAAACCAATAAAAAAAACTGCACATCAAAATTTTAATTTAATGACACGGGACCTTGTTTCTTTCTAGGTCTTTATTTTTCAATCTTTAAAATGGAGTTAGAAACATAAGCCTCAGAGGACTAATGTGAAAACTAAAAATTTTAAAGAAAATAATAGAGGCTCAGTTAATAATGAACTTTAAAAATGCTGAAGTGACAGATGCTATGGACATGCCCATCTGCCCAAATGGGTTAAAAGCACACTTAGGATCTCTGCTGGATTTGCAGCTGTAGTCTGTGGATAGCCCATCTGTGGGTTTAGTGATCATCTGTGACATCTGTCGTGGGCTAGAACAGGCTCAGAGTGGAGAGGTGTTAGCCTTCCTCCTGCTAGGGTCTGCTCGCCTAAAAGCCCTTCTTGGTTGACCTGAGGGCTGCTGGTCACCATCACAGCATCTCATGGGGGTCACTGGGACAGGGAGTGTGGCAACAAGGTCACTGGTTCTTTAGAAATATGAGCTGGTGAAGAGGAAAGCTAGCATTGTGGTGGGTGTGTAGGGAAGAGGAGAGTCAGTTACCTTTCAAGAATAGATCACAGACCTATTTTACACTCCGATCTAACAACTTTTATAAACTTTTCATACGTGCACTCTATAATTCCACTTCTAAAAATTTACTCAGAGATAATTGTACAGGTAAGCAAAGATATACATAAAGGGCTTCACTGCCACATTATTTGAAAAAGGAAACTACTAGCAGTTGTTTAGAAAAGAAGTAGATGTGTACTCATGTGGAAAGATGGCCAAGATACAATGACAAATGAAAAATTAGACTAGGTATATACAATGTGATTATTTCGATCTTAACAAGATGTACCAATATGGGGTTACATGCAGAATAGGCACTCATTGAAAGATTGGGTCAAGGAATCAGAGAGAGAAATTTTATTTTATATATTTCTAAACTATTTTAATTTTTTATGAGCCTCTATTTCATTTCTAATAAAACCCAGTATCCCCAATCTAAAATGATATCGCATACAAAAAAGAGCTAATATAGCAGGCCTAAGACTACTATCCTTAGACAGGTCTGCTCGCAAGGTTCACTCTTGGCTGGTATGTGGGAACTTGGGTTTCAGGAGGGTTTTCACCATTCCCTGATAAGAATGGCTCACTGTGCCTAAAATCATGTTTGCATAAACAGTTGTCGGATTATCTGCTTTCCTTCTGGGAGTCTGGTATTTTGGGTAGTGCTAAGCAGAGGGTACCTAAGTAACTGACCCCAAGTATAAACCCTGGATGCCTAGGCTCAGGCTGCATTCCCTGGCAGCTGTCTTACAAGTATTGCCACAACTCGCTTCTGGGGGTAATTAAGTGTATCCTACTCAACTCCACAGGGAGAAGACTCTTGGAAGCTTGCGACTGGTCTACCCTAGATTTTACCCCAGGCACTTTGGTCCTTAGATTTTGCTTTGTGTTATTTTGCTGTAATAAATCATAGCCACGAGAGTAACTATATCCTGAGTTCTGTGTCTTCCTAGCAAATGACTGAACCTGTGAGTGGTCATGGGGGCCAAAACATAACCCTATTATTCTTTTCCACAGCACCTTCTTCTTGACCTTCACAGCACTGCCACAATTTGTATACTATGGTAACGTGTGTCTTTTTACATTTTGTGTATATGTAGTAATTATTTGTTTTTTCCACTAGACTAAGTTCCATGAGGTTAAATTATATGTGTTGGTTATCACTGCATATCACACAAATACTTCAACTTGTTAAATAAAATAAGGGAGAAAAAGCTCAGCTACTAATAAAAGATGATCTGCCAGAAAGAGAGTATAAGATAATTTTTACTGGCAATGCTCCTTTGTATATTCTGGAATCCCTGAGAGTCACTCAAATTAAGATACTCAAGATCAATATAATGGCAGAACCAGACTCTGTATTTAATGAAAAATACTTGCCTCTCTTTCCCACACCCCTCATTTGTGCTTCTACTGAAAGGAAAAATTTTTACCAGGACAACAGTTTCCCAGCTCTACGGGCCACTGTCAGACTTACAGGAGCTCACAGGCCTCTTGCATTCTAAGACACACATGACGGGACAGGCGCTCCCAGAGCTCAAGCCACTTACTTCTCTTTTTCCCTGTTGCTTCTCTCCCATCCTCCCACCTTTATGAAAAATGCAAAAAGTCACATTAATCACCATGGACTGGAGATGTGGAAACCTGGGGAGCTGAGAGGTTAATCTTGCATTGAACTCCAAAATGATATTCAGATTTACCCAAAGCCAATTTGTCTCAGTGATGATTAATTCCCTGATGTTCCAGATCTCCAGAGATGACAATGGTAGAGGTCTGCCCTGGGCAGTCTGCATGCTGCTACTTATTCAAATCCTCCCTAAACCCCCTTGCCCTCGGTCGCCACATGATGTAACAGGGTTCACTTGGCTTTACGTCCTTGGGCCCATTTCGCTGGGTGCATTTTCTCCATTCTATCAGCTCACCCTATTGCATTCATCTAAAGCTTATCACAAGGAGAAATTAATCTGCCATTTCTACAGTGTTATCAGGCTCCTGCAGTGACTTCAGTATCATGTGGTCTGAGAGAAAGCCTTCTAAATCCCGGAAAGTCCTTCTCTGGGTTTCCTCTGAAGGGCTAACGCCAGCCACAGCGGCTGCACATTGGACGCCAGTGTGCATGCTTCCTCTGGCTGCACGGCCCTCTCCCTCCACCGCCTCCTTTTCTTTCCCAGTCACCTGTGTCTTTACCTGCCTAGGCAGGGTCCTTTAGAACGAAAGCAACTACAAGGTTGAATCAGTCTCGCTCTTCTTTATATGAAGACTGGTGTGTTCGGGGCAGTGCCTCACAAGGCAGTTGCTTAATATGGGTTTGGGTGAATCGGTGCCTTGCTTCCTCTACCTGGAGAATGGGCCCAATATTTGCTATCTTTCTGTTATACTTATGAGAAGGAAATAACTGAAATTCTGGAGATAACGGAAAGAGATTCCAAAGTAGTAGATTTAAGTGTCCCTTAAAATCAATGGAATAGAAGGTGAGATTTAAGTTTTTGCTTGTAGAGAGGTTTTATAGACTGCTAAACAGAAATTAAAAGCACAGATACTAGGATATGAAGGGATTTAAACAATTTTATGTCTGCAGGCAGGAGATGGACACAAGCAATGTTTTCATCACTATGCTCACTGCTGTCTCTCCGCCTGACTGTCACCCACCTTTCCTGTGCCCACCCCCCAAAAGCCCTTCCTCTAGCTGGCATCTTTCCCCGTTGTCTCCCCCACACCACTACTCCCTGCTGTCTTCCCTCCATCAGGCCATACACAGGGGTCTCAGATGGAAAGGACCAACAAATCCCTTCATCTTCGCCCTGCCCAACATCTTTGCCCTGCCCAAGTGGGGCCCACACAGGCCACTCCCAGTCCCAGCTCTGGCTGTGGACATTCTTGCTCCATTCCCCACGTCTGATGCTCTACCTTGCTGGCCTTCAGGATGTTGATCTGCTCTTCATACACTGTGTCTCTGTTTTTTTCCAGAAAACCATCTGAAAGGTACTCCACCTGCAGTGCAGTAATGGGAAAGAGAAATAGCAGTTAGTGCTTTGGCCTGACCAGGTTCCTCCAGCAGCTTCTTGAGTAGTCGAATAGTTTCATCTCATTCACATGGCATTTTCTGAAAAGAGCTATGAGTAGATAGGAAACCCACAGCTGTTCCTATTTAAAGTGCAAACCCAGTAAGTGTTCAGGATTTACACAGAGGGAACTGAGTATTTATTTTGTGGAGGAAAATATTGTCTTAAAAAGGAGTACCCATAATAGAAGCCTTCTTTAGGATTCTATAAATAAATGCAGCTTCTCAGACACACCCCAGACCCACTGAATCAGAATTTACATTTTAACAAGATTCTAGGTGGATTTACATACACATTAAAATTTGAAAGACACAGGGCTAGTGCATATCAAACAGAAATCCATTTAGAAAAATTCTATGTATGCACCAGTTACCAGGAAAGGAGCCACCTAAAGAGGAGTGACACGTGTTCCATGTAAAGCTACACCAGTTAGTACTTTCTGTTGTCACTCCTCCCTGTTCCCCCTCAAGCTCCTGGAGTGTACACTCATAACTGTTCTACTTGCTGCTGTGTTCCCAGGAGAGAGACCCTCCATAAACCCCCGCAAAGCATATGACGGGCAACTACGACACCCCGTGAGGCTATGCCCTTGGTAACAGACATACCCCAGAGATGAGCAGGGTGGGAAGAAAGGATGGAAGGAGACTGAGACTTCAGGCCACTTGAATTCAAAAGAGACAGCTCCCTTTTAGACCAGAAACCTGAGTCTACCCTAAGTGGGGCTAAAGAACACCTGAGCCCACCAAGAGGAAACCACCTTATCTGCAAAGTGGATGACGATGAAGGCCGTGTTGGACATGCGGGGCTTCTGGAAGTGCTGGCTGCTGGAATGCCGGTCATAGAGCTTCTGAGCCCAGTTCTGGTCAGTTCCTTTGGGGACCTACAGAACCACAAAACAAGACAGAGTGCTTTGTGATGAAGAAAAAAGGAAAGAGAGTCACAGCAGAGGGATGGGATGTCAGAAAGGTGGCTCCGTGAGGGTGGACTCAGCTTTCAAACGAGGACCTTGACTGGAGTGTGGAAAGAATGACTCTACTGTGCATGATGAGGACCCACCACGTGCAGGTTGGCTCCCGTGGGGGCCGTGGGAGTGTGCTGAGCCTCAAGGAACCTGCTGGCTGGCAGAAGCTGGAGGCGTGAGGAGAGGCTGTGGGGGAGGCCAAGGTCACAGAAGCAGAGTCACAACCCATGGAACAACCTGAAGATGCTTCTTCCCTGCAGTTGGGCAGTGACTTCAACATCATGGACATACTCCATCCAGCTCCAGCACCAAGCCCCTGCTCGCTCAGGTACACTCGTGCCGCAGCAAAGCCCACCCTTCCTCTCCAAGCTCATCCACATAGCAGTGGCCAGGCTCGTCTCGAGTCCGTCCTCTCCTATGAAGACTTTCCTGACCACTCTCGATCTTATTCTCTCTTCTTTAGAATTCCTCACAATTAAGCTTTTACACATACACTATCTAGTATTGTTCACCTCTGTTTTGGGGGTTTTGTGACTACAAACTGTAAGCTTATTGGGTTCAAGGACTGACTATGCCTCACTGTTTTTTTCCAGCTCCTTGAAAGTGCTTAGAATAGGGTTCTGGCTACACTAAGTACTGATACCTAGTGACTGACCTACATGGCACTAACCTCTGCCTCCCCTAGAATCCAAATTCAGACTTAAAGGTTTCACTACATTAGCAATTCTAAAAGGCAGCCCCTTTCACTATCTCTGAATCTGTGGATGGCTTCAAAAGTAAAAAAGCATCTTGCTTCACTGAAAATGCAACACAGAGGGACTGTAACCACCATTCAAATTGTCAAGGGTGACAGCAACTCTTCCAATGGGAAGGTGCTCCTTCCTGTCATCCCTGACCACTGGCATGCTATGCACGCCCACTGACCAGAACTGGTCCAGTCCTCAGTCACGGGTCACCAACTGACTTGCCCTTCACTGGTTAAGATTGTATATTTGGATCAGGCAAGGCTGAAGGTGACCCTGGCATTAGCCATTTACAAAGGGCTTTGCATAGAAAATTAATAAAATCTGTGCCATAAGGAAAATGCTTACACACTTGGGAACAAGCATTTTAAATCCTTTGTAAGCAAACTGATTTTTTTTAAAGATTCAATTTGGTGTAGCTACTATTGAATACCCAGTGCTAAGTTTCATAGGAAATTCAAGAAAAGAAAACTTTCTTGAAGTAGGCTATTAATTGTGTTGGGCAGACAAAATATACTTA